CCTTACTACACAATGTATTTAGCTTTACATTTGTGCAGCATTGTCTGTCTGGTAAGTACCTTAGGCATTCCCAGTCAGGTGGCTTGCTGGGGCGGGGGGCGGGGCGCTTACATCCTTGGCCCCTGCATCGTACCAGCCTTGCCTGGGAGCTTTTGTATATCTAACTCAGGGAAGCAGGTGATTTGCAAATCACCTGGAGCAGGAGCTAGACTCCGGCCATAAAGCTGCTGTCGGCTTTGCAAAACCTCGCTTACTACACCACCTTTCTCTGCTCTGAACAGCAACTTGTTGCCCCCATCTTCCAGGAGACCAGGGCCCCTTTCCGGGAGGCATGAAATGTGGCCGAAGGGCTCGACGCTGATTATTTTGCTAGACAGGGCTACCATTTAGGTTTCCATTAGTGTCACCCATGTGCTTATCCAGTGGGCATAAACGAGTCATAGTTGGCTTTTTTTTTTTTTTTTTTTAACATCTAGCATTAATGGCTTTTGATACATTACTTACTGAAGTGCTAAGGTATAAGCCTTTCAATGAAATGGGTTCTGGAGGAAAACAAAAAAATCCATAGAGATCTTTCAATTCAATTCACAAGACTGAACAATTGTTCTGTGAACAGTTTTACCCTGCTACATTCTCCTGTTTTGTTAAGTAGGCTCCATGCCCAATGTGGGACTTGAACTCAGGACCCTGAGACTTAGCAGTCTCCAAAATAGAGAATAAATGCTGGTGTGACTGGCAGGCCAGCTTGAAACGACAGAGAAGGAGGGCAGAGAGGGTGTGACGGCAGAGACAAAGCAATGAAGGAGACTACCCGCAGTAGGAGATGGCGCTGCTGGCCTGGCACAGGGCGCCCCACCCGCTCCCCTGCCTCTCAGCGCCCGGGCCACGCCCACTCGGACAGCACACGCGCCCTGACCGCCCGCGGTAGCCAGGTCCTGCAATCATGTCTGGGGACATGCATGCTAAGCTGGAGTTAAAAGTGCTGATTTTGTGCAAGACCTGGCTACTTTTGAGTGAGAGCCAGGACAGCATATTACAAATGACAGAATTTGAAATTATACCATTAGAAACCACAGAAGTGACAAAAGTGATCGACTTTCCCCAATGGTGGACTGGATTTCCTAGGCTTTTCCAATAGCTTTGGAATGTGAAGAATTGTCATCGTTTAGGACTTTTATAAGGAAATTTAATACTGTAGGCCTAGGTACAGCACATTAAAAAGAAACCATTTTATGTTCAGGGGAATGTTTTCCTCTTTTGAATTCTTGGTTGGGGGGGGGCAGGTGGGATGAAGGGAGAGCATTCCTTCCCTCCGGGAGCCAGATGACAGCAGGAAGGCCTCTCACTCAGGAGGCCGGAAGGCTGCAGGCCTCACAAGCTACCCCACACTCGGGTTCCAGAAACACTTAACATGTCAGGAACTAGACAAATTAAGTTTCCTGGCTCTGTGGTCAGACACAACTTTTTCTGCTTGTCATCACATCCTCATTTCTTAGTATTCTTCAAGGATGAGGGAGGATTAAGGGGATTTATTGCTTTTTAAAATTAAACAAATAGGGGCACCTGGGTGGCTCAGTTGGTTAGGCGTCTGCCTTCAGTTCAGGTCATGATTCCGGGGTCCTGGGATTGAGTCCTGAGTCAGGTTCCCTGCTCAGTGGGGAATCTGCTTCTCCCTCTCCCTCTCCCCCTCCCGCCACCGCGGCCCGTGCTCTCTCTCTAATAAATAAAATCTTTAAAAAAATTTTAAATTAATTAAACAAATACATTGAACAACTGGTCAGAAGTTTACTCCTCGTATTTTATGGCACCAAATTTTAGCAAATTCATTCATAAGCGTACATAATAAAAGAGAATGAATATGCCCCAGGATCTCTTTTTTTGGGGGGGGGGGGGGGTGTGGGGGTGAGATGAGGGAATGGAACTGGGGGCTTGGTTCACACTCTATGCTTCTCTTACTATGTGCAGTGTGATCAGGCAGCCACATGTGCTCTGAAACTCACTACTGCCAGTTACTTAAACTCTCCATGCTTCAGTGTTCCCTTCTTCAAGAATGGGGATGATAATACCTATTCCTGAGATTTCTTATAAAGTTTGAGTGAGGGGCGCCTGGGTGGCTCTGTCAGTTAAGCGTCTGACTCTTGATTTCGGCTCAGGTCATGATGTCAAGATCGTTGAGACCGAGCCCTGCATCGGACTCCATGCTAGGCGTGGAGCTTGCTTGAGATTCTCTCTCTTTCTCTCCCTCTGCCCCTTCCCCTCAACCCTCCCAACCTCCCCACCTGTATGCACTCACTCTCTAAAAAAAAAAAAAAAGTAAGTTTAAGTGATGTCATGAATGTAAAAGTGTATTGCCAAACCTGGCTTTCACCGAATTTTAGTTTCTTTTCACTTTAATATTGATAAAAATATAATATTAAGTTTGGTTTGTACTGAAATCCCTTCTGAGGTCTCAGAATCTAGTAGAGAATTCTAATCAGACTTTTGAGAGATTATCAGGTTGTCGGCAGGTTTGTTGATGAATTCATTGTCACGACAGAAACTGTCACCTGCCGAAATATACCATCTCCTCCTCTCTCCTTTTCCTTCCACAGCTAAGTGTGTCAGCGCAGCAGAGAGCACCTTAACAATCTATACCTGTTCTCTGGCTGGAGTTTATACAGTGAACAAAATCTGATCTGGCTGCGCGAAAAGCAAACCACCACACATCCCAAACACTTAACATAACCTTGAGTCTTCAAAAGAAACGCTTGCACCACGGCAGAGGTCTGGAACCCATTACAGCTCAGTTCTCCAGGGGCAGCTTATCTCCTTCTCTGACACTATCAGTTGCCAAGGAAAGATAAAGACAAAAAGTCAACTGCCGTACCCAGTCAGAGTGGGAATGTGTTCAGGAATACTGCAATAAGGGCTGGGCTGGGCCCGAGAGAATGTTGCAACAGGCTAGCACTAATTCACATTCAGATGTTGGTGGCTCTCATGCTGAGGATTGAATCCTATGCTCTGCTTTAAGGAAAACACTTCCTACACCCTGCAGGAAGAGTTGCAAAATAACCTACCCCTCTCTAAGGAGTGTAATTGGTACTCTTATGTTGCATTTTAAGGGAAAGTTCATTTGTGTCTGCAGTGACCTCAGAAGTTAATCACACTACCGAACTGTGTGGAGAACAAATATCTTGAATTTATTTGTTTCTTTCCTGAAATAAGAGCTCCAAGAGGCTTTGACATTGATAAAGTTCAAAAATGAAACACAGTCATAAGAGTTGAATCTTCTCATTACTTTGCTAAAGACTATGATTCAGGATAATGATTCACTGCGAAACACATTTTGTGAATCTGAGCCTTTCCTTTCTACTACCGAAGGCATAGAATGAAAGCATATTCGGCACTGAAGGTTTGAGTTCCACCAGTCCTTAGAGCTCGGAACTCAAATGAGAATAATTCTAAATCTGACCTGGACTTTTTGCTTTCAATATTATCTCTTTCATATACTGAGTGTGCTTACATTTTTTTCATATTATTTTATCATCGGTAATGATATGAGAAGTCTTCTTTTGAGATTGAGGGGGACAGGGGGAGAGAGAAAGAAGTTGCAAGTGAGGTCCTTCTGTATGGCATACTTGCTGGGTTGAAAAGGCAGTGAATAATGGTTCTTGCTCAGTAGCCCTGGTTTCCAGTCACTGTCCAACAAGATAATAAGTATAGTTCAATCTCTAAATTACACAAATTTACAGCTTTTGTTATTAGTCTTGGAACCCATCAACCCTAAGAGGAGACAAAATGGCAGACTCATATTCACAAGAGGTGACCATGAATTTCAAGCATGAAGCTTGATTTCACTTCAGTTCGCTTTCCCATCTCCAGGGGGTTAGGGAAGGGCCTCTACTTGCTTCTCCCTCAGCCACAATCTCAGGGGCCCCTCTCCGTCACTTAGCCTCTCTGGAGACAAACAGTGTAACAATGAAGATCCTTGAACTTGCATATTTGTTTTGAGTTTTCTGTGGAAAAAAATTTCTAGAAATTGTCAGGTCAAAGGGTATGTGAATTTAACATTTTAATGATTACAGCCAAATTGCCCTCAAAAAGATCTTATGACTATTATCTGAAAAAGGAGGAAAGAATAGACGATCATTTTCCAGTCTTTTCCAACTGAACTTTCAACTCAATTCAATGAAGAAGCTTTTAAAACCAGAATGGAAGATGGCACAGCCCTGAGATCCAGTCTGCTTTTAGCTATGCCACTAATTTCAAGCTTTTTCTTCATTAGCAAGTATTAAAACTTTGTTTTGCTTTGGTCTTAGTTGCCAAACTAACGGTTTTTTTCCCCTTGTAATATTGCTAGCCATAAATGAAGGTCCTGCTGTGGATAAGAAATGGATGTCCTGGCATTTGATACATTACTTTCAAATCATACTTATTTAAGGGACAACATACTCCTTTACAGGACTGGTTCTCAAACTTTAGTAGGCATCAGAATTATCTAGAAAGCCTGAACCCAGATTACTGGGCTCTACCCTCAGAGTTCCTGATTCAGCAGGTCCGGGGATGGGGCCCAAGACTTTAAATTTCTAACAATTTCCCAGGTGATGCTGATACTGTTGGTGTGGAGACCACTTTTCCAGAATCACTTCCTTTCAGAATGCTCTTTGATTACTGGGCATAAACTTGCGATGAGAGGACCACTATCTTACTCTGGGTAGACTGTGATTTACAGGAGTTTGAATGACAGTCACCTCAATTACTGTAATAAATCTTCTTTCTGTTCCACCTCACTACCATGACATATGAGCTCTTTAACGGTCACATGCAAGGAGCAAACTGCAAATTCCAAGTGGATTGCTCCCCAGAGTTACCTCTTCTGCCCCAGACCTACTCTCCCCACAGAACTGGTACTTGAAATTCATATAAGACAACTACAAAATAACTGCACCTCTTTCTCCCTCTTACAAAGGAGACTTTGTTGATCAGATGTTACAGGTATGGATACTTATGTTATTTAAGGCCTTCAGTTTTAAGATAATCACCAGGTGCTTTCCGTCACTTCCGTTACACACAACAAACAGACAAATTTAGCTCTCAAGGGACCTGAGTTATAAAGGCAAACATGAAAAAACGAATGGCACGTGAATTTGAACCTTCACTTTGTATGCAGCGGATCTACAGAGCACTTCCAATGGAGTTTCTGTTCTAGATCTTACATCTAAGCATGAAAACAGTCAAGTGTGTAGAGGTGTAGAATTGAACAAATGTACAAGTGAAGATTTACATATTCATGACAAGAGAGTGAAAGTGAATTTTGTTGGGGAGAGGAAGGAGGGAGGTTATAGGAACTACTGTTCATAGAAGAAATATAGCCACATTTGTCAGGATGCACTGTCAGACTAGAGGCTTTTTCCCCAGTCAGTTGTGACAGACCTGGTTCATGGCGTGTTTTGAGAGTGAAGTCATAGCATTAATACTGAATTCACGTTAGAGAGGATGATTTAGTAATGAACTGGCCAAAGGGCCCGTTGGGAAGGAAAAGAAGAAAGATGAGCAGGAACAGTGATCCTGGAACAACTAGATGCTATCTCAAACCGCAGGAAGAGCAAGCCTCACTCATTCAGACTACAGTAATTTGGATTTCGTGATACCTCTGAGACTTTTTCACTGACACCTCTGAAGGGGGCTTGTTAAATAAATCAGGTATAAAGATTGGCAGAAGGGCTGTTTAGGGCAGGCTCCTCTCAAGCCCTTCGGAAGAATACATCACGTTACTATTTAAAACCATGCCTCCACTTCCCACCAACATTTGTCGAATCCTTTATATGAAGAAATCTTTATATTTTTTTTTAATTATGATTTTGGAGTCTCTTAAACTCATAACCACCTGTCTTATGGGTAAGCAAAATCAGATAATGTTACTGAAAAAAGAACAAAGGGGTTAGGAACAAGTAATAAATAGGTTCAAAAATTCCTTTATAAAGTATCTGGGAAGATTTCTCCAGTTATATAGACACACAAGATCTATTTTGATCAATCAGTGAACGTGTCCCTTCATCGAGAAAGTGATTGGTGTGTTTTCCATGACACTTCAGTGTGTCAAGCAAGGCTCCTCACAGTCTGGCTGTCCGTGCACGATCCTGTTCCACCACACAAGCACCCACCACCCTCCAGACACACAGCCTTCTCTCCACCTCTGAGCCTCTGGACATGGAGCCGAGCTGCCTTTTCCACCTGGCTTCAACCTCTATCACACTTGTCTGCTGTCAGCTCTCAGTTGTCTCCAGAATCTTCCCCTGGAGCCCCTGCCCCCTGGGCAGGACGGGCGCCCCTTCCTTCGAGGGCTCTGCCTCTACCGATCCGCTTCGACTGCAGGCCTCGCCAGTCCATCCTGCTGCTGGGCTCGTCTCTCCCCTGACCTAAAAGAGGGCCTGGCCCACGTTCCCCTGCTCATTCAGGGAACTGCTGAGCACAAGGCACACTGAGTCGGTGTTTGCTGAGTGAATGAGTAACACTGGATTTGTTTGCTAGCTTTTTAAAAGATTTGGAAAGATTTTAAAGCATGTCCTATTCCAACAGTAACTTTTTAGTATTTGGAATTCATCCTTTATTCATTAGGAGGATGGCAGGGAAGATTTGCTGTAGGATCTTTTAATTCAATTTCCTGTTGCACAGCTTTTTTCACCTCATCTAATAAATCTTAGACAAAATTAGACTCCTATGGGTTCAAGGATACCACAGCAATGCCAGGGTCTTGTACATTGAGGGCATGTGGTTTTGAGCGGAAACTAGGACAGAGAGAGAGAAGTCCAGAGTGAGTGAGCCCTGTGCTACCTGAGCACTCTGAGAAATGCTTCGCCTTCTCAAGGCTCGTTTTTTTCCTTCTCTAAAACAGATATATATGTGAAAACACATATATATATATATATATATATATATATATAAAATTTTTAAAGGATAAAAATGATTTCACAGGATTGCTGTAAGAATGTATATAAAACATTATATAGATGGTATATAAAAACACTTTGAAAACTAACGGTACCATTAAATGTTTACTGACTAAAGGAATAAAAGCTATTCTTTTGGATTGGGGCAGAAGAGAAAGATCCATCGAAAGCAATCTTTCTTTCCTTCTGGGCACATTTGATCATGGCTGTTAATTTTTAGAGGTGATCTAGACATTGTTTTCTGGAGGACTGTGGCCTGAAACAAAACAAAAAACAAAGCTTTTTGCCAAAGCTTTTTGATTCACACAGCCAGATACACGACTTTCCTCATGGGTAATAATTCACAGCAAAGGCACACTAGAAAAGCCTCAGTTTTACTGGGCAGAGGAAGCACCTACACTCTCCTTCTCTCGTCGGCTAAAATACAAGCATTACTGACGCCTTCTTCACTTTCACGGAAGTGCCTGGTAAAGGTGCTTTTATAAAGCTGCAATTATTCTTGAGGCAATATGAGAGGTACCCAGGCTTTGGCAAGGTGTGGTAAATCTGGCAAGGAAGTTCAATTTCCGTAACATTGTTTCCAGCCCAGGAAATGTCTCAGGTGGCTTGGTATGGGTAAGCTGCTGCCAGTTTTTCGGGCATGGGCTTGCTTCTCTCGGATGACATCATTTGACTGAATTCTTTACTCTGCCCCACAGAAGCCTCTGCGTTCACTTGGTCTCCATTTTTCTCCAAGACCTCATACGATCCTCAGGATGGCTGTGTCTCCAAAAGCCTAATATGGAAAGACCTCTAATTCATGTGATGAACCTACCTATTAAAATAGCAAAAGCATTTACTAATGTACACTTCAAAACCATTATACAATAGGAAGATTTTCTGATTATAGCATCATTATCACCGAGAATAATGGGCCATGACTGCAGCCTTAGGTCAACGTAACTCACACAGCACATTAAGTACTATATTAAATTTGTTTATCCCGAGGTCTAAGAACTGAGATCGCTGAAAAGCAAATGTAAACTTTAAAAATGCTCTTTTTAAACTATGTAAACTTTTCTCTAACTTGAGCTAAACAGAGGAGAAACTGACCAGGTGGAACCTGTGATTTTTCTAAGCTAAACTTTCTGTTACCCTAGCTCAGGGGTTGAACTCATTAATTCTCCTCTGTTTCCCAAATTACAGTATACCCAAAGGGTTTTATTATGTCCTGAAATATAAATTAGCATAGAAAATGCCAAAAACTTTTCAAGGAAGTCTTTTATTTATGCTACGTGGCCCACTAATGGTAAACCTTACTGCCTTTTGAATTCCTTTCTGGCAAAGCCACAGTAGTCATGCTTAGAAGCTAGAGCGAGGTCAGATGATGTTATAGATTTCCCTGGTCTTTGAATACTATGATATATACACCACCACACATTTGCTTCAACACCTCTATCATTCTTTTTTGGGTAATCGGCACTTGTGATTTTTGTGAAGCTCTGACATCTAATATGGTTTCACTGATCACACTCAGGCTTATGATTTGAACTAGAATGTGGCATTTACTGACGTCTGAGGTACATCTTTCTCCTTCTCCAAGACTAGGGAATCATATCCCACAAAGCCACCAACTTAAGTGTTTTAACCAGACACTCTATGAGATCACGAGGAGAAAACAAAGAGGAAAGAGGCAGAGTTGGACAGGAATGCCTTTCGTTTCTCTCCTTACATGGCATGGGGACGGTAAAGCTGAGGATACTGAAGCTCATCTCATCTAGTCTCTAGATGACCAGGGGCAACAGGAGTTGTTTGGCAAAAGACAGCTGGCTGTGAAGAGCCTGACTGAGAACTATCAGCACATGGGAAGACAGACTTGGGATGACAGCCATTTCCTCAGCTAGTTCAGAAAATAAAAGGTGGTGGCATGAAAGCAGTAGGCCTGCAAGTCACGGACACATTTCTAAACCTCACTACGCCATTAAGGTAACACGCAGATCTCTGGGTGGTCAAGGAGAACACCAGGTGTATGTTACCCTTGCCAGAACATGACCCACAGGTTCAGTCAGATCCTGTGGTTTCATAATACTTTAACCTTTAATCCGACTGCCGAGAGCTAGAATGCCAAATTTTTGTTTCATAATTTTAGTTGAACGCCTCTTGCCAACAAAAGTGATTTTTTTTTAAATGAAAGTTGCAGAAGGGATATGGTATTTGAAGCCAGACCTAAAGCAGTGATGAAAGGATGAGCTGATTAGCTCAAAGTCAGAAGAGAATCCATAAAAGCCATTATGTAAAAGAGAGAGTTATACTCAAGTTTCAGAGCAGAGCCAACTGTCCCAGCAAACTTTGTTTCAAGATATTCAGTCTTCATCATATTCTTTGCTAATTCTTCTAAATGACTGTATTCTAAATGTACTGTATTACTTCTGTGAATGCTACTTATTGTGCTTACTTAAAACACAGTAAACCAATCATTGTTATACTAGACTACGAAATCATTATCAATATAATTCGGAAATATGACCTAACTGTAGATGTAAGTAGAGCATTACAGTAAAACGAACTGTAGCCACAGTAACATCGAGCAGATATTTACAAGTCCAGTTTGATACACCTTCAGTTTCATGATCAGATTTGCATTTGGCTTAATAAGTAGACAAAATCAAAGCATAAACACAAGGTAGGCCGAGCTCTAAGCACAGATGTAGAGGTCACAGAACCTGCCTGGGAGGTCCTGACATTACAGCGCCAGAGGCCAGAGTGCCCGGTACACGCTGACTGCCAGCCAATGGCTGAGCTGTCTACTCAACACCACTGTTACTTTTTCTCCTCAGCTGCCGGCCAGGGCAGGTGGCCAAGCTGCAAAAAGCGCCATTGTGTGGTTCCCTCGGTAACCAACCGGATTCCTCCATCAGGATTCCTTTCCCAAGTCAACTGGGCTTTAGGATTTTAAACATTTCGCATTTCCCCTTAAAAACTTTCCTCCTGAACTTGTAATCAGTGTTCTTAATTTGACTTTGCCAGATTTGCCATCTGTGCTTAAGCTTTCGGAAAATTCTGCAGTTGCCCACAGTGCACATTTTCTAGTGGTAATATCACCCTGCGTCTCGGGATGCTTGGTGTGCTGAAAAGAAAAACAGAGCTGGGAGGCAGGAGATGCAAGTCCTGCTA